TTTATATATATATGCGAAGCCAGGGCGAGTAGCTAGTAAGTAAAGTTGGAGAGCGAATTTTGGTACATCTTTAAACTCAGCCACTGCACCGATTTGAGAAATTTCTTCAATGTTTTAAAGTTACAGTATTCCAAATTGACGTCTTTATACATATATAAAAAAATATGTGTCACGTTGTTTGTCCGCGATGGACTCCTAAACTACTGAACCGACTGCAAATTTGATTTGCACATCGTGTGCAATTTGATCCAACTTGAAAGATACGATAGCTTACATCTCAATTTATAGTTGCAATATTATTTTATTCAAGAACCTTAGTGCTGTGGCTAAGGTTCTGATATAATAAATTGCAACGGTTGGATCTTCTGCTAGAAGACATATCAAAATCAATTTGCAAACCAAGTTGGAGCGTGTAACCCACACGTGGCCCACTCCCCCCTAGATCCGGGATTAAGTCATTTAGAATCTACAGCACTCGGAAAATTGTCTCATCCCAATGAGAACGAGCAAGAAACTTGCGTGTTGCTCTATTAAATAAATGTTGCCAGTTTACATTTTCAAGTTAATTAAATTCATTAAGTACAATGAAAAGTTAATTCTTCGGACATGGTTTTACTTTGATTATTTTTATGTGAGCTGGTATTCAATAGTGTAGTCATGCAATAATGAGTCATGCGGAAAGGTCACAGAAAGACTAATTAAATTTAGCACAGATATCACCGCTGAGAGATTTGACTTCTATTCACAAAGGTCACAAGTTTAATACCAATTAGTCTAGACAAATCGTTCGGATGTTTTCTTAATGATCGTGAATATTGAGTCTGGTTTACACATGCGACATTGTTGATCGAGATGTATACAATATCCGTCCTATAACATGGTAGATTGTTTCCGCGTTATAGGAGTTTTTTTTTTATGGATGATAATGGAATATCCGTCCTATAACGCTGGCGGGGCACCAGTGGAGGGTGATAAGATGAATGAGGTCAGGTCAGTTATCCCATAGTGACGAAATCACCGAGAGTTAATCGCAATGGTTTCGAGGGGCAACCGCGTCGATATATGGAGGTATGCCGTGCCGTGTTATACGTGGGATTGCAATCCGCGAAATATGAAAATGCATTATAAGAGTACCGTGTTATAGAGAGGATCACTGTAATATGTACTTACAAAAAAAAAATATCTACATCAGTTGTCTAGTACCCATCACATAAACTCTTAGCTTGGGACTAGATGTCGCAGTGTGAATCGTCTTGAGATATTATAATTACACTAGCTGTGCCCGCGATTTCACACGCTTGAAATTTATAGCCTATAAGTTATTCTAATATAGATAGCTAAAATATATTATTGTAAAGTTTCATCAAAATCCGTTCAATAGTTTTTGCGTGAAAGAGTAACAAACATCCATCCATACTCACAAACTTTCGTGTTTATAATAATAATAAGATTTACACATATATTATAGAAATACTAGTCGAGAAGATATTATTATTGTTTAACTATACAGCTGGATCATTGCTTAAAATAATTTAACCCATCTGACAGTTAACCTTTACAAGTACCGGGATCTCAAAGATAACCCATTTGTTGTTAAGTTGCGGCGAGACTGCGTAAGAGAATCTGTAGTAACATCTTATAATAGAAACACTAATATAATCTTATATATAAAATTCTCGTGTCACAGATTTCGTTCCCATAGTCCTCCGAAACGGCTTGACCGATTCTCATGAAATTTTGTGAGCGTATTGAGTAGGTCTGAGAATCGGCCAACATCTATTTTTCATCCCCCTAAATGTTAGGGGTAGTCCACCCCTAAATTTTATTTTTTAGACAAAATTTTTAGTTTCTATTTTTTTATGATACAACATACAAAAATACATACAAACCTAAATTTTCACCCTTCTATCATCAACCCCTATTTTTTTATAGCGTTATTAATTTATATGGCAAAACAACGTTTGCCGGGACAGCTAGTATAATATAATACAAAAAGCGTTATCTTGTATTTTGCCTCGGAGGTGTACCAGTTTAGCACACTGCCTTACCTCTAATGGTCACGGCTTCGCTTCCTCGCAGTACAAACATTTGTATTCATTAGTATAATTGTTTGTATCGGTCTGGGTGTTTTCTATGTATATTATTATATATTACAAATAAAAAAATATCTTAAGTGTTTATATCAGTTGTCTAGTACCCATAACACGAGCTCTGCTTACCGTGGGAATAGATGGCGCTCTGATAATTGTCCAGGGTTATTTATTTCAGTTCGGATAGTCAGAGGTATGGTTAACTGACGACGTTGTACTGAACGCCCAATTGACATTTTTTTTATACTACGATGGTGGCAAAAAAGTATACGGCCCATCTGATGGTAAACGTTTACCGGAGCCTATGGACGCCTGAAACACCAGGAGTGTCACGTGCGCTTTGCCGACCCTTAAGAAACCTTAATATACCCTTCAACCTTTTCGCTCTGTATATTTGAGTGCAACGTGACAGAAACCGCTTTCAGTCGTATTACTTTGGTTTGTTATCAGGGCTTCGATAATCGGAGAGTTAGTCAGAAACATAAATTGAGACACACATTTTTTACCTTTGTTAATATATTGTTGTACAGTCACGTGATGAATTTATAGCAGTTGGAACAGATCTTTTTTTTTTTAATTCCTATTGTGTTATTTTTGAATATGGTACAAATTCATGACAATTTATGATTTTACGGTTAATTCTGTATAAATAAAATTTGAGTGTCTGTTTGTAATTTCAAATTAACAGCTTTCACGAAATGCATATGATAATACGAGCACATATGGAGTAAGATACAAAATTTTTGTCTGTATATCTGTTTGTCTGTTTGTTTTTGCTACCCACTGAAACAGTTGACTGACTTTACACATTACTATGCTTTAACATTAGTTATCTACTAGTGAAATTTAATTAGCAGTTAGCTAATGTTATTAGGAGTAACTTAGGTTACTTTTATTTTAGAAAGTTTATTTATATCAACAAAAATAAAATGAAAATTAAACACGGACGAAGTCGCAGATAACAGCTAGTAAGAACATAGAATAGAATACATAAAATGTTATAGACAAACAGAATCATATAGAAATGTTAAAAAGTTTTGTAAAACGTATAGATCTGTATTTGCAAAATCCTCAAATATTAATGATTCTAATTGTTTCAAGTTGAATTCCATTCCCATCCCATCTGTACATCAGCGGCCATTATTGAGAATCGTTCTTGAGCTAGATTTTTATTTGCACTGACCTATTAATTTAAATACTGAATCAAAAGTTCTATTCCTATCAAACACCGTGATTTTAACTTACACGTGTTGTAATAAGGCTTAAATTAGCATTGACTCTAATTAACATAGCTGCATCTGTGTTTTGGTATTCGCGGGAAATGATCCTGTTAAACGAAATTGAACTGAAAACGTATTACGTTAAGGTACATATTAATTTTGAGATTCGTTGAAAAAGGAACTTGATCGTATGATAATAAATAACGTAACGAAACTAGCTGCTATTTTTAACGTTGTTTTTTCAATGTTATTTTTAAAATGCATAACTTTAGAATCCTTTTCGTTTGAAATGGTTTTGTTTTCGTTAAAAAACTGTATTCTACTTGTTTCTAATACTTCACTGCTATATATGAGACAGTACTTATATACTTTGAACAAAGTGTCAATAAACAGCCACATGACTCGTGTGATAGATAAAACCGTCAAGGATAAAAAACAATAAGATTTTTATTCAAACTAGCTGACCTGCACAACTTCGTCTGAGTCACAGCTACTTGACATTTATCATTATATTTGGCGAAATTTATAGAATATCTTTTTAATTTATAGCCTATGTGTTATTAAGGTATATAAGCTATATTACTGTAAAATTTCATCTAAATCTGTTCATTCGTTTTCGCATGAAAAAGTAACAAATATCCATTCATTAATACATACTTAGAAAACTAAATAATAATACATTTATATTATCTATATTAATATTATTAACAGGTAAATGTGTAATGTTTGTAAGGGATAATCTCTGGATCTATTGAACCGATTTTGAAATTTTTTTACTGTTGGATAGTCCATTTATAGAGGTTGGATAGACCATTGGATAGGCTATATAACATCACACTGTACACAATAAGAGCAGAGCTGCAATAAAAAAAATTGCTAATATGACGAAAATAAGTAACGAATTTGCGGGTCAGCTAGTTTTTAATAAAAATAATTACTATTAGAGGCTTATTATTATTAGAGAGAGTCAATTTGTTACTTTTATTTTAATAAACAAACTTAAAATATGAACTATTTTAAAATAGAAACTTTCATCTGTGCTTTCAATTACAGAAAGCCTTATCAGACCTCATCAGAGTATAATGGCATGTATTACAACCAGGCAATGCCACGGGTCTATAACGAGTAAAGGGTAAACTAAAAAAAACGATTTTAAAAAGAATAGTGGTACACTTATTGAGATGACGTATTTCCGCCGACGAGCAGCTTGTTATAAGCTGTGTTTCGCTTAAAGGTTGATATAACCTGAAATTAAAGTCCATTGCAAGTAAGGACATTATATTGACTAAATTCTTCATGCTTATATTACCTAAATGCTGCGTAACCGCCAAGCAGCTAACTTTATAAGATGGTGGTAGAGAGAGAGAAATGGTATTTCCAGGTGAAGGAATCTAAGACTGTAAAATTACAGAATAATAGGCATGACATCTTAATGATAACGCATGAGCGATTCATACGTTACTATTCCGGAGGACTAAGATATCACGTGCGTGATGTGATAACGTGTTGTTCAAATGGGCGTTTATCACTTACCATCAAGCAGGCCGTCAGCTAATTTGCCATTCGGATTACATAAAAAAAATCATTAGTATAGAGTCCGTTTTACTCGCTGACATTATCATTGAGTCATTTATTTCACGCGGGCGACGTCACAGTATTCAACCTAGCTACTAATTAATAATAGACTTACCTCTTCGACGGACTTCTTCGAGAACTCGTTCATGGAGACAATCCATTGCTGCACTAGTTCATTCACAATAACCAGATCGTTATATAACCACGTTAATAGTTCATTCACCCATTGCACACTCGGCGGGTCGGGGCCCGTGCACGTCGGTACTATGATACTCTGATGTTTTTTTAAATTCAACTGCTCAGGCCCCGGGGACATACGGCCCAACCGTTTCTTATTCGGCGGCGTGGCTGGCACGAAACCACTCGGCTTGCTAGGTTTGAAAGCACCACTTTTAACTTTAGCACTAGTTGCTAACACGCTATCCGCACTATTTATTATTTCGTTCGCTGTTGATTTCTTCTCGTCGATCGTTTTCTGCGGTTTCGCTTCTACCTCCACTGGTTTCTTGCTGAACCTGCCGTACGCCCATTTCGCTATACCCAGCAGTACGATGGAGAATAACACCCATATAAATATTAACATCACTAAATTATCCATGGCTGTGTCCATATAATCGAAGCTGCATATAAGGTCGTCAACCGCTTCGGCTAGGTCAGCCATGGCTTTCCATGGTGTCTGCCACCATCGAGCGGCGTTGCCTCCCGCCGCCTCGTCGTCCCTCACTGATCCCGAGCTCGGCATTTTTTCTCTATTTTCGAACGCACTATTTCGGGAACGTAGCTCTGTCTCACTCTAAACTGTTACGTTTTAAACATAACGTTATTTATTAGCAAATAAACGATAAGCGTTTTAACGAAATAACGTTAAAGTATTAGACCGTTAGTTATATTTAATATCAGATGAACACATTATAACATTAGGCGCCGTTTTCTAATAAGGAATTCGTTCGTTCGTATTCAGTCGTGATTTCTATTGCTGAAAAGTCTTCCGCACTTCATTGCTTATAATGGCGTGCGTATTCGTGATCCTGAAACAGAGGAAATGTTTCGTTACACAAATAATTAATATTACCTTTCTTTTGTAACTGAAATTGTAAACAAACTGACAGTCAATCTAATGACAAGTGGTAACTAATAATAATAACCCTGGACAATTCACACAGCGCCATCTAGTCCCAAACTAATCAAAACTTGTATTATGGGTACTAGACAACTGATGATATAAACACTCAAATATTTTTTGTAAATACATAAATATTATATACTAGCTGAGCCCGCGGTTTCGCCCGTGTTAAATTTTAATATATAAATTTCAATAAAAAAATATAGCCAATATATTATTCTGATGCATAAGCTATATTACTGTAAAGTTTCATCAAAATCCGTTCAGAAGGTTTTGCGTGAAAGAGTAACATCCATACTTACAAACTTTCTAACAACTACTTTTTTATAATATTATTAATTTATTATTATTAAATTAATTAATATAGAAATCACCTAGAACAATATAAACAATGATACTCATGAATACAAATATTTGTACCCAGAAGGAATCCCGTATCTCTACCACGTACATTGGAAGTAAATCACTATGCTTATATATATCTAATATCATCATCATCATCATCATCTCCACTGAAGACGTCCACTGCTGAACAAAGTTACATAATCTAATATAGTAAGGACTTTATAAAACGTCATCTGCGTTAGTACCACAGTCTCACCTATTTCAGCCGCTAAGCAGCTGTGTTTCAGTTGATGAGTGTGATAAGGCAGTGAAATTACAGGATAAGAGGCATGACATCTTAGTACTCTGGAATGGCAACGAATGATATCACGTGTGTAAGCATATTTGCCATAAGGTACAATTTACAAGGCACAACAAACAAACATCAGAATATTTTTATTAGATATAAAGACGAGTCAGCGACTCATCGATTTTGAAACTAGTCTCACGTTCTAGACTAGACGTGGCGACCTCTACACGCACAGATTACGTAATTTTACAAATATGTAGTATTTTTTTAATATTACTAGCAGTTGATGGTAAAAATCTTAATTTTTTTTTAGTTCTGATATCCTTGTAGGAAAGGCAAAGAGCGATTACGTAATGATTAGTTGTTTCTTTTTCGATATTAAAAAATATTAAAAAAAAAGAGTTTAGACATGACAGCCACTGGCTGTTGTTGATATAAATATTTTTTTTAGTTGTGTTCCTTCAAAGGAAAGTCAAAGGGAATTGTGTCCATACAGCTATGTCTGCTTGTTAGTTCATTAATTGTTTGTGATACAAGGGCAACATAGGCTAAAATGTGTTTCATTTTTGGGTGGATGGGTAAAGAGAACTGTACTATACAGCCATGTCTACTTATTGTTATTTCATTGTTTGTGAGATACAAAAGTAACATAGTCTGTATATATTATAAATATTTACAAAACTTCCAAAGTTACGAGCATCCAGAAGAGTCCACTACTATTTTTATGAAAGGCAAAATTTAATATAATAATTGCAAAATAACCTTAAACATTATATTAAAAACTGTTTTATTATTTTTACCTGTAGCTGCGTAGCCATTAAAAACATAACCTCAAAAATACAAGGATAAAAGTTTAAATAAACAATTTTTGTTTCGCGCCATTCCAATGCCTCTTTTATTGTTTTACGGCGTTGGATACCTACACATTATTATTTTTATTACACACGATTGGCAATCATGAAACGGTAGCAAAACAACAAAACCATAGCAACTAGTGCTCGTATTGCAGGCTGATAGACCCGACTCGACCTTGCCTGGTGACATCATCCACTAGGTTAACGATAACAGAATTTTAATTACATTAAACTGAGCTTAATAAATGTGTAGACCATAGACACGTTGCATTATTTATATATATATTTTACGTAACTGGAATAACAAACAAGCTATTGGGCCACCTGTAAAGCAACTGGTGCCTTTATGTCATAGTATAAATTATTAATAGAAATATTTTTTATTAAAATAATAATACCCTTCGACAATTCACACAACGCCATCTAGTCCCCAGATCAGCAGAGATTGTGTTATGGGTAATAGACAACTGATATATATTTTTTTTGTAAATACATTTATAATTTACATAGAAGGGGGAAGGGTATTGTCAGTAATTTGGATTAATAACCCCATTCTTAGTAATATGCTATGTCAGGTTGACCTCCACGCGGTTCCATCAGGAAACCTTCCAGTGAAATTCCTGGTGAATTTCCCAGGATAGGCTAACTGCCCTGACCTCATGTTCATCTTATCATCCTCCACTGGTGCCCCGCCAGCGTATACCGTTAGCGCAGTCGAGTGCAACATTCCATTATTATTCCAAAACAAAATATGCATAAAAAACACTCAGACCGATACAAACAATCGTACTTATGAATACAAAAGTTAGCACCGTGTGAAGAATCGAACCCGCGACCAGCGGACAAAAGCGGTATAGGCAACTGCTAGACCACTGTGGCCACCAAGTAGAGATATCGTCAAACTGAGCTGCCTGTTGGGTCTCTCTCAGATATTTATGCATCTAAACAGCTTGTTTTGTAAGCTGTGTTTAGTTTGGTGAGATTTGGCAGTAAAAGTACAGGATATGGAGCTGACATGGCTCAATCTTAGTACTCCAAAATGGCAACGCAAGATGACGTCGCTGTCCGTGTTGTTCTTATTTATTTTTGTCGACAGCCTGTGGTCTAGTGGTTTAGCACACCGCTTTATCTCCGATGGTCGCGAGTTCGACTCCTCGCACGGTGCAAACATTTATATTTATGACTATGATTGTTTGTATCGGGCTGGGTATTTTCTATGTATATTATGTATATATTTACAAAAAAAGTATCTAAGTATTTATATCAGTTGTCTCGTACCCATGTATGTACAGGGTTATTTATTTATTTTATTTATTCATATAAACATAAAATTATTTACATTGCAGATTTAACGTTTCTTCATGTATAAAAGCGACCGTTACCACTTACCATCATTTTGGCCGTCAACTTGTTTTCAAACCCTGATATTTATTAAAAAAAAACAGTCCATATGATGTCACGAACACAATCTATACATCTATAATTAGGTCATTACCACATTACCCACTGATTTCGTGCTAGTGGTATATTCATAAGGTCAAGAATTCGTATCCACTTTATCGGACTGAATTGTAGAAGGGGCCGTTTTAAATTACAAATTATTATTGCTCGCTGAACCGCCACACTCAATCAGGTCTCGATCAATGAGGTTAAGCTACGTTTAGTGCGACCAATTCTTGGATGGGTGACCGCCACGATATAGAACTGTGGAACTTTGTAAGACACTATAGCTTTAACTTTGAAATTTGGAATACTATTTGGATTACGAAATTTTTAAACAAGCTTTTTGAACACCCTAGTGTTAGGAACACGTGTGTTGTTCAAAGGACCTAATTTTTATATATGTTCCCACCAAAATACCTTTATTATGCGACTGGCCGGTTGTCTGTTTGTTAGAATCCTATATGTCTGTTATTTTAGAACTATCTAACGCTGTTGGGCGCAGCTGGCCTGTACAGCTTCACCGGACGCCAAGGGGTGCGTGCAGATGGCACTCCAAACCCGCGGAAGGTCTTATGAAGCGGCTGAAGGCCAACTCCTGCCTGAATAGACATACAAGTGGTCTCTCAGTGGTCGAAATACAATCGAAATGTGTTTAACATTTAATTTTGAAGATTATATTCTGACATTTACATACTATCGTGAGTAAAAAATATGAAAGTGTGGAAATGTATTCTTATTATGATATATTATATGAAAATAAAAGTGGCCTAAGTTACTCCTTATTACACTGATGTAACTGTAGGTAGCTGACTACCTGCCAAAAAAGTCCCGTCAAAATCGGTGCAGCCATTTCAGAAATTAGCCGGAACAAACAGACCGACAGATATACAGACAAAAATGATAAAAAATGTTATTTTGGTATACTTATGTACCGTATATTCATGTGCATGTAATAAAAAACTGTTATTTCAATATTACAAACAGACATTTTATTTATATGTATGGATTTTAATTTCATAATAAATACATTTATTAAGAATTTTTATTAATAAAAAATTAAAAGTACAATCTTTTTCCAGTTATTTTCGGTATAATCTTTAACTGTGCCCAATTTATTTAAATTCTTACTAGTGTTATAAATGCGAAACAAAGTCTGTCTGTCTGTCTGTCTCGCTTTCACGCCTAAACCACTAAACCGATTTAAATGAATTTTGGTACACAGATAGTCTAGACCCTGAGTAAGGACATAGGCTACTTTTTAATGTGAAAAAAGGGTTGCAAGGGGTTGAAAGGGAATATGGAAGGTTCTATGGAAGTATCGTCATTTTACGCGGACGAAGTCGCAGGCGCAGCTAGGCTAGTATATATAATTTTCGTAACATGGAATACAAACTTTTTGCATCACACTCTATACCAATATAACTTACTATATTAAACGCGAAAGTTTGTGAGTATGGATGTATGTTTGTTACTCTTTCACAGAAAAACTACTGCACGGATTTTGATGAAACTTTACAATAATATAGTTTACACATCAGAATAACATATATGGTATAATTTAAGAAGATAGTATGATAATTGGGCTAAATATAATGATACATATCAATGCAGACGAAGTTGCGCGGGTCAGCTCCTTAAGAAACCCAGTCGTTAATAACTTTATGCTGTAATTTCACTGACAAACCACATTTTCAAAATCAAAACACAAAATTTTCTCACAAGACTTCAGTAATGGATTTTTCAAGAAGGGTGTATTATGTTTCTTAAGGGTCTACAACGTGCACGCAACACCCCTGCTGTTTTTAACTACGGTAACCGTTTACCATGGGCCAAATACCTGTTTGCCACGACCGTAATAAAAAAAAAACGAAACTTAAAAAAACTTACGATTCTTGTTATAAAGAATAAACTCACAATACACATATCACCACGACTGTATTCAACAGTGCGTAAGTCAAGACTGACCGCCGTGTA